CTCAAACACCCTCATACTTTCTTTAATGTCTTGAAATAGCATTGAGTAAGAAGGAGGAGATAAATTTCGCGAAGATGTATCAAAAAGCTTCCCTAAATTCGGGAGAGAAAACGTAACAAGCCCGAAAGTAAATGTTAAACAGACAAACCAGCAAACCGATTAAAGGGATCTTAGTCGATCATTTGAATGAACATCAGGTAGAAGATATGCTGCAAACCTAAGTGTGAATATGTGTCTTTAAATCAAAGACCATCCGTTTTTAAGAGGCGAACGCTAACTTCTGAGTCAGGATTGGTGAAATTTCATGATTTTACAGTGGTACTAGTGAAGTTGATAAATGGAACAACATTAACAGCTATAGCTACCGCTTGCGACTGACTGTTAATTAGTTTCAAGAGTTTCGGGTTTTGATGATTCCTGTTTAGTCTATTTACAGTGCTACCACAGTTACATTTTATCGACGCATTCCCATAAGTAAACGTCGATCATCCGGAGTTTTGTTTGTTACTGTCAAGTAGTAAGATTCTTACCTATAACTTTTTGAGCCGATAATTGCGATATCATATGAATTTTCGATGTGAAGAGCTGGTTAAATAAGAGTTAAACCTCACTCATATCAAAATCCACCTGAAAAGATTTATTGTATGCGTGATGAATATTTGGTCACTGATAGCTCTGCTTTTCTATGGGCAAATATCAGCTTATTCGCTTTGTTGTTCTCTAAAGCCTTCAGTACAGCATGTGATTGTTTAATTAGAGACACTTATTGTCGGAAATACATGCAGGTTTCACAACGTCGTTGGAGTAACACCATATATCTCGTCACTGATTAAATCTATTTAGCGATTTAGAAAGTTATCTCTAGGTTGGTTGTGGTGATCTCAGACATTGACGACATGACGTGTTTGATATGCTTGCATATATCTCATGAAAGTGCTTTCGCAACTGCCAATACACGCAAACAAGTGCATGAGTTACCATTTAAGAGAAAATGAGCGTTATTCTCAAGTAAACTATTACTCCACCTTGCTAAGTACAGAGTTTTGGACAACTTATGATGTTCGTTGAATCGTAATCGAGGCAAATATGTAGTTGGCGGACGAACAATTCAAGAGACCATATGTGGATATGAACCGCTTATCATTCTAAGGTCACGTCATTATTATGTTGCTCATTGCTAAGATACTTAATAACACTGAAGTTGGGTGTCATGATTTATTGTGTACAACTAATCGAAGTTGTTGATGATACACGTATAGGAATAATTTGGTAAGAGCACATCATCCGAGTTTATATCGCCAGAATATAACAACTAAGAAAGCTTACTCCAATGAAAGAGAACAGTGATTTTTCCATTAGTTTGAGGTCTAGATGTGATAAGTATCTTCCTTGTATGGTACCAGTATCGTTTAATTTTGAATACTTTATCCTTAGGTCTTACTGCCTTTTGGATACATACGGACTGTTTTCTTCTGACAATAGGCGGACAAGAATTTTATTTACCTGATGATTCGAGATGAGCATTTAATACGTCACTTAATGCGACCAAGGACATATGTGGGTCCGTAGCAGTTCTTGTGAGATGAACTGTAGTTTCTGCACCAAATGCAATCAATACTTTCGAAATCTGATCCAACCCCCGGGGCACTACAAGATGTTAATACAGAATCCTTTCTGCAGAAATTGTTAGTACAATTAAAAATAGGTGACAAATCTGCTTAAAATTAATTCGGTATGATGAAGCGAAATGCTTACCGGACTCATCAAAACAGGCATTTTTTATCGATAACCTTTTTATGTAGACACCATGGATTTAGAAGAAACTTAAATTAAAATCAAATAGCGCTGTAAGTTTTCGACATTGGATGCTGACCATAGTTTTAGTGGACTCATCTAGCGGAAGGCGCTCGGTCAAGCATCCGCACCATATCACCTGTGGGAACGCCGTGCTCAACATCTGCCTCAATCGCTAGCCAGATTAGTGCAAACGATCCTCGATATATTGATAGCTTATCAAATATATCTTCGATCTCCTCGCTTCTGTCTTTTGATTTTACTTGGTGGGTGCGCTTCGTATTAGAAGGTGTGACTGGTTAAAGCGTTGTCAAACTCTGAATACCTGTGGCATCTTCAACAGAATCCTTTCTGCAGAAATTGTTAGTACAATTAAAAATAGGTGACAAATCTGCTTAAAATTAATTCGGTATGATGAAGCGAAATGCTTACCGGACTCATCAAAACAGGCATTTTTTATCGATAACCTTTTTATGTAGACACCATGGATTTAGAAGAAACTTAAATTAAAATGTCGGATCAGAGGCAATCCTGTGTCCAGTGAATTTATGCTAAAAGGATTCAAGCTAACCTACTAGATGTGTTTACCTACCTTTTTGATTCACGTTTGTAACCTAGAATTCACTTTGTTTTCTACCGAGAAGTCCTTTTACAAGATAAACTGAATTGCTACGCTGAAAAGGAGTCCGACAATGACTTTAATTAAGATTTAATGATGAAAACGAGCAACAGTAATTGCCATGAAGAAAGTCTTTTGTGTATCCAAACTCTGTTGCCTTTACTGCATATTTTAGATCTACATAGTCTCAAACCTTCAGCACATTTTAATCTCTCTTATACATATAGTGTTTTATCCATCCGTTGCTATACTTTTGCTTTGTCTTCTTCTGGATACACCTAAGTAAAGTTGACCTAATGAAGGGAAATAAGTCTAAATAGACGTACTCTAAATTTTCTATAATAAATAACTTAGCTTCATCAGTCATTAACATTGTCTGTTCTACTTCTTTCTTTTTCTTTTTCCCGCCCTTTTTTAGCACCCTAGTGATGAACCACCTCTAAGAAGGATATCACTCTCTTGAGGCGAGTTCGTATAAAAGCAACTAAAACGGTGTTTGTATTTAAAAACCCATACATAAGTTGCCGAAGGCAATGCACTGCAGATCATCAATGGGGATGATCTTTGTCAATGATTGAGGTCTACATGAAATGACTGGAGATAACGTGACCTAGCTTACGTCAAATTATAATGTGCATAACGTGGATTACTCTCTGATCGTCTCCATATGCTGTGGCTATTTTGACGACAGCATTGAACATGACATTCTTGAAATTTTTTAGAATGACCATATAAATACAAAATGTGTTCACTTACACATGGCCAACACCATAGTGAGCGATTACTTTTTTCACGTTAATCATCCTATACGCTTGCGACGTTTAACAGGCAGTCCGGTGATCAGTGATTTGTCATCTAACGAAGAAATGGTTATGAATGATGAATGATATCGCTAACATTCAGTGAACCTACAACACTTTCAAAATTTACAGTACGTAGGGAATAGAGGAGACATGATTATGATCCTCTTCACCTCCTTAAACCACCTTCATGATTTGGTAGTTAACTACATCTTAGAGGACATTTTTTAAAGATAGAACAGGAAAGAGCTTCCGCATATGTTCCAACTGTAAGCCATGAAATCACCTATTTTAAGCAATAGTGATGGAGATGCACGTCTGTTCTTTCGAAAGAGGCTCGAACTTTATTGTTATTCTATCGATACTGAGGTGATTACGCTTGGGGTTATTCATTATGATGTCTTACACTAAATGAGACAAAAATGCTTTTCGGGCAAACCTTCCAGAGGTAACGCTGAAGCGCATTTTTGGCCGATTCGATGGAAGAACTTTCCATCTAATATTCATCAGTTTTATTCGTTCCTATTTAGAGTGCAGGAACACAGTATTTCCTCACTCGCTACAAAAACATAAGGTCACTTTGGAACATATTCGACAGCGAGCCACATAGAGATGCCACAAGCATTGGGAATTCGACAACGCCTTGATCAATAACACCTTTTGTAATCGAAATGTGACAACCTAGTTAAATCAAAAGTCAGAAGCAAAGAGGTTCCAAGGAATATTTGATAGACTGTCAATATATTGGGAATTAACCAATGTGAGCTTGCTAGCCGTCGTATATATGAAGTACGGCGTACTCACCCGTGATCTGGTGCGGATGCGCGAGCACCCTCAGCTAGGTGAGTTCATGAAAACTAATGCGGTCAGTATCAAATATCGAAGAGTCACAGAGCTATTGATTTTGGAGAATTATTTACCGCTAAACACAAAATCAGTTTTGGGACTCGAGTCTTATGAAGAGAGCCTCTGATCCCTGAACCTTTACCCATTATAGTACAAACGTCTTAGAGGTGATCTAATGAGATGGTAGAGAAGATTTTTAGCTCAGGTGGATGATTTTGATGGAGTTTTGTTCTCTGAGCTGGATGGTTTTGAACCAAAACTCCATCAAAAAGTGATCTAATGACTTGCAACATTCTAAGCACTTCTGGGTATCCCTTGAAATACCTACTTAAGTTTAGTCCCAACACATATCTTAGGGATAACACCCAAAAACTGGATATATGACACATCAGAGCGAACTGTAGGCACACCTTCTATTCTGTAAGAGTAGTCAAATGTTGGAATTCTCTGCCAACCTAGACAGTTTGAGAGACTTCCGGAGAATCATTTAAGAGAAAACCTGATATATTTCTAAGGTCCAAGGACAGTATCTCACTATAATTTACCATCTATTTTTTCTCGTTTTTATCGTCAACATACCTAGATTTTTACCTGGAGGCATTGGCGATCTACTGCTACAAGATACAGAAGCTCGTTAAGTTAAATTTTCTTCTGTTCCATTCAGAACCATTCGGATCCAGAAGTAACAAAAAATGCGCACATCCATAACTGAGCATACATTGATGCTACCTAGATACAGAACTTAAGAAACAATCAGTCCGTTGTTCATATCGACTAGCGTTTGAGGCTTGAATGGATGGGTATTCATTTGTGACTTATTCGAAACTGGCGGGTTCATTGGATTGTTATTGCGATTGCAAGAGCTTTTATGTTATTTTCTCAGTATTCAATATATTACTGTAATTCATATGTAGGACAGAAATAACTTATGCTAAGATGTAATGATGAGACCTTTCGATAGTGGATTCTCACCTCAATCACTAAATAAGAGCGAAATACAAGCACAACATACTTCTGTGCACGAGGTGGAAAATAACAATCCTACTACAGTGAAATGCATCCTTATAGGCGATAAACAAGTTGGAAAAACTAGTTTGGTTGTTAGCTACACTTCTAATGATTATCCAGCAGAATACAGGCCATCTGCCTTAGATACATTTTGTGGTGAGTCGGACTGTTTTATTGTAATGATTTGTTGGTCTTATCATTTTCCAAGTTTCTATTACCATATAGTTCTGTGATCTTTGGGTTCGTGGGCCGCTATTTTATTGAGGGGAGTTAGCTAGTAACTGGTGAGGTATAGTTAGTTTCTCCAAGTAACCAGTAAAAAGAAAATATAGGCGAAGAGGAAATAATAGGGAAACAAGCTTAAATGTGTGATTTTTCGTCTATAAGGGGGAAATGATGCAGATTTTACCCTTTATATCTCTTTGTGTCGCTGAATTGTCGACTCACCTAAATACACGCCAAATTGCCTACTTTTTGTCTGAATACATGCCGAATTTTCTAATTTTGCTTCCGTTTTCAACATACATTCAGCCTAACCTTGAGTGTCTCATGTGTTCGCCTTTATTTATATAACAAACCACATGAGAACCACAGTCGACGTTAAAAATGATACATGTTGAATGAAATTTATTAAAAAGAAAAAAAACGTCATATTGTACAACGTTATTCGTAGTTGGCAGATGCTAGAGCATCAATCGTTGTGTATTTTAATTGTAATTGCCAAGTGTTGTTGTAGTTTGAAATGATCTACAAAAGAAAGAACAGGTTATGTGTTATTAGTTAGGCACGTGTACTCAATTACAAGTGTGTTTAAAACCAAACAGACTTTCTCAACATTCACTCAAAGAGTTCCCCATGCAAGTTAGAAAATAAGCACATTCAAAAAATGTATATTGAAAACAATGTTGAACATTAAAAAAAATTTCCAGTGGTAATGCATTTTTGTAACGCCTGTTGGACCATTGAGAAGCAAAGTAATCTTGTAAATTCTGAAATTCGGTAAACACAAAACTCACAATGATATCTAACTGCTATTACTTTTTAAGCAACTATCTACGTGCAGTTTTACTTATGGTTATATCCGTTAATACTGAACACTGTACCTATAGAACAGTAGAGAATAGTTATCACTTAAAATTAGTACATACATGTTTTTTTGTTCTCTTCGATGACGCTCTTCTACTTTGTCTCTCATATCGACGTATTACCATAAACCATTTACTTACCCCCTGCGTCCTATTTAGCCGGCCAACAAACAATGCGTAATTGTAGACGCACTAAGCAAGAGGCAGCTTATGGTTGCAGCTAAACAGTGGATTGTGCTGATATCCACCTGCAAAACAATGACCAGTCAGATGATAATCGGTCAGTCCTGAAGTGTAAGATCATTCACGAATGTGGTGTTACATACATAGGAACGATCATTTCCTGTAGATAGTTTCCAGGCTGCAAAAGAGTTGTTGGTTACCTTCAACAAATTAGATGTTTACCGTATCAACAGTTCTACGGACGAAAGCACCGAAGAGTCCAGCACATTAACCTTACTAACATTTCGCAGAGGTGCACTGAAACAGGAAGAAGGGTTTCATTACAATTTCATTGATATGGATGTGGACAAGATTTACACTGGAAACACCCAAGTCCAATATCCTACATTTCGGTTGTTTAACACTTGTGGTACTAGTACACAGAAAGCCTGGTCTGGTCACTGATGTAGGGGCGAATGGATTAGTGAAATTATGGTCATTAACAGACCCACGCAGTCACTTCGAAGAACCCTTCTGTTTTAGTGACAGGAATATTTATGTACTCGATAATTAGTTATGAGCACACATTGGTTTCTGTTAAGGATATTGACTGTAAATGTATTGCCCGTAATTGTGTCAGTTATTCAGTGATTGCTCCATTACTACATACGTTTATATGAATGTATTGTGTTTCATTCTGGCTGATGGTCTGGTGTGTATTTGGGCGAAAAGTAGACAATTCAGCGACACTTAAAACAGAGCGACATAAAGGGGAATGTTCGCATCATTTCCCCGCTGACAGGCGAAAATGCAGATATTTTGGCTTGTTTTCCCATTATTTTATTTTATTTTCCAGTGTATTTTACCTTTTCCCCTTTTGTTCGCCTTTATTTTCCCTTTATTAGTTGCTTGGGCATTTTGCGGTAACTCATGGTAATTTTCTAGTTTTTGCAAATCGAACACTTTAGGTCAATGGATTTGTACAATGGACACCCTGTTATCATTCCTGAGACTATTTCCTCACTCTGGATAATTTAGTTGTCATTTAGTTATGGTGGTATGGTGTAACAGCTTGAACCATTCAGTATATGCTAGATTATACGTTGGTTGTGCGGTTGTGCCTAGTTGATTACCTGACTAAATCCATACAACCGGCAAACGATCCTGGTTTTCACTTAGAATTGATCTGTGGCCATCACTACCTAACGTTGTATCCACTTCTTTCACTAAAAGAATCCTTTATGGTTGCATTTTCCCTAACAGAATTACTTCTTCCATTATTGTTTTTTTCAAAAGCAAAATTTTGGATATTTCAGAGGTTAACAATACCAATAGCTTTTCATACTTTATACAGTTACTGCCTCCGAATGCCTTTATATCTGAGGCACAGCACATATTGCAGATAAACGAAAAATATTTAATGACTGAAAATAATCTAAGCGTTAACTCTTACAACAGTTGCAAGTTGCTGAATAAAATCAAAATAGAGGTGTAAAATATTGTTAATGGTCTGTAAGTAAACCAGTTGTCTTACAACCATGGTATTTCGCTTATTTTAGCAATCAAATTTGTGTGATATATATGGTGATTGTGATGGTCCGGGTGATTACATTAATTTAAGTTTCCTTTTTTGATCTCAAATAACTATATCTATCTTTTGTCCTCAAGAAAGTGGATAAAAAGCTACTCTACTTGTGATCAAATAAATAACATTGTAGTTGGAGACTCAATTTAGTCTAAAACGATCAAGTAATTACTACCGTACACAACATTGGTCTTCCGACGGAAATACTTGCTTACTTACTTACTTATGTCTGTTACTCCCAATGAAGCATAGGCCGCCGACCAGCATTCTCCAACCCACTTTGTCCTGGGCCTTCCTTTCCAGTTTTGTCCGATTTTTGTTCATTTTTCTCATGTCTGTCCCCATTTGTTGGCGTAATGTGTTCTTTGGTCTTCCTCTTTTCCTTTGGCCTTGAGGATTCCATGTGAGGGCTTGCTTTGTGACGCAGTTCGGTGCTTTCCTCAATGCGTGTCCTATTCACTTCCAGAGCTTTCTGATTTATTCCTCCACTGGGATCTGGTTTGTTCTCTCCCACAATAGGTTGTTTCGGATAGTGTTTGGCCAACGGATCCGAAGTATTTTACGTAAACTAGTGTTAATAAACACTTGTATCTTCTGGATAACTTCTTTCGTAGTTCTCCAAGTTTCCGCCCATACAGTAGAACTGTTTTGACATTATTGAAAATTCTGACCTTGGTGTTGGTTGCCAATTGTTTTGAGTTCCAGATGTTCTTCAGTTGTAAATATGCTGCTCTTGCTTTGCCGATCCGTGCCTTCACATCTGCATCAGATCCAACGTGTTCATCAATCATGCTGCCCAGATATGTAAAGGTTTTTACATCTTCCAAATCTTCTCCGTCAAGTGTGATTGGATTGTTGCATGCTGTGTTGTATCGGAGAATCTTGCTTTTCCCTTTGTGTATGTTGAGACCTAGTGCTTCTGAGGCTTCTGCTACACTGGTCGTCTTCTCCTGCATTTATTGTTGCGTGTGCCTTATAGAAATAGTTTATACGTAATGTGAGGAAAGGTATGAGAGTAGACTATTTTTCCACATTGTCAAAAAAGTGATTGATTAAACAGTGAAGATACAGAACTTGTCAGGAGATACTTCTAAAAACCGCTTATAAATAAATCAGAAGAGTGTATGAGGCTATATGTTTTCGAATCCGAATTCTCGTGATGACATTCATGAGTTGTAAACAGTTGGATTATGTTCCAAATTCCATCTACTAGTAAAGCTGTATTCACACACCTGTAATCTAACATTCCTATTTATTTTTAAACATGTGTTCTCATTTCACCCATTTGTAAGGCACTAACATTTAAGTCATTCTAATTTTTTGGCTAAAATGAACATACATCTTTAATTACGTGGTGTAGCGGTAATTGTTTTAACCATAAATAATCCACATTAGTAAAGTTAGCAGTCGTGTAAAAATATGCTGTTAACTTTATCGGTTCAAATGTAAAATCTCATTGAAACTAAGATTATAGTCAGTTAATAATATTTTTTGCGTAGATGCCTGTTTGGAGTCAGTTTGCAAAAGAAATATCACTGAATGACATAACTCAATGTATATTCATGTGTCCTTATGGGGTACGGTGAATTGAACCGATGTAAAAATGTGCCAGGTTTTACACTGCGCATGATTGACTGACTCAATGAGATCCTAATATATCATTTAGATCGATTGAAAAGCCTTTCGATTGAAACCGGTAAATTTCACCCTTGAGGGAAAACTACTAACTGTACTATATTGTGGCTAAAGTAAAATGTTTTCCACGAATAAATGACGTCTTCCACAGTGGTACTTTCTTTCAAATATAAGGGGTCATAAAAAGCAAATCCTAAAAACAAAACTTATTTCATGAATTTTCAATGATGAGGTTTTTCTAAGTGTGCAACCAACATAATGGGCTTTAAGCAGTGATTCTTCGGTCATGCTTTCAAGTTGATGAGATCACCAATAATAAAGTATCTTTTCAGGATCCTAAAAATCAGTACGGTTCCATGATGTGGACATCTGGAGTGACAACCGGCCACACAACTCTAGCAACACACTGGTCCATCCAGTATATAGCTTGCCACCTTTAACTTTGTCTCTAAATTCATCCAGGCCACTACAAGACGTGATTTACTATCTCTGTTTCGGAAACCAGTAGTTTATTCACTATATAAGGAGGCCTATAACTTTCATCAAATATGTTCAGAGAGAGCTCGTCAAGAGGTCCCGAAGTATGAATTATGTTGACTTCAACTGTAATATTCTTGCATGGTGCATTGTTTAATGCTTAACAATGATTTTCATTCATTTTGAAAATATAACACCAGTCAGTCAAACACAACATAGGACTTTATATAAATGTTTTCTTCCAAGCTAATGTGCCTTGTCAACATTCCAAACAAGGAGATTAACAAAAACTAGTGAAAAGTAAAAGTACTACGAACATTAATGGAAATGCTAGTAAAAGAAATTTGATCCAAAAGAAACGATTAATTTGATGACCATAAGTATGAAATGACACGATTCACTTATTTAGAGGAGGATGAAGAATAAATCCTGTCGTATTACTACGAACGAGTTTTGCTCGTGTTACACCATGTCTATAATCATTTATTAAATCCTAATTTCATCTTGTCCTCAGTATTTTCTGACTATTGATGCATGTCATGACATCTCGTAAATTCACCTCTTGTACTATGTAACTCGTCTTACAAGTTATTACGATCTCTTCATTTCAGTTGAAGTGTGTGCTGATACACGACCAGTACATCTACAAATCTGCGACACAGGAGGAAAAGTGAGTGTCCCCATCTGTTTTACTTCATTGTAAAGTTATGGTTTTCTTACTACTCCTTGTTCCATTTGTAATTGAAGTTTTCAAACCTGCTTTTTACAATCTGATAATAAATCGAAGGTTTATTCGAAACTCCATGCTCCTTTGTTACTCTCCAAGGTTATAAATGTCTTCATAGCCCACATTAACAGGCAAGAGCGACGTAGGGGCTGGTGCTTTTGAGTCTCAAACAACATTGTAGGTTCAATATTAATTATGTATTATGATCAAATGGGGAAATCATTATCACTCTATGTATAATTGCATAAAGTGTACACAAAGTGACGCTACTGAAAAACGGCTTGTTGGCTAATGTTTATTGTGGTACACCTGAGCATCATGAAAAAGCAATAATTTCAATCCAAAGACTATGTAAATGCTTATTAAAAGCCACAATAATCGTATCTTATCTGATAGTGCTACTGGACCAAATTAAATGGAGTAGATTGTAACTTGTGATTCAGTGCCCCAGAAATATTTAGCAAGTCGAAACTTACAAACTGAGGTGCATACTTTCCCCAAAAGTCATTATTTATGTATTTTTAACATGTGGTATTGTGATGGATATGGAACAAGCTTAGGGAAAGCTTTAGAATCAAATCAGAAAGACAGATTCATTCTACTTTTGACTATTGAAGATAAAGTATGCAAGATGATTAAATCTCTGTGTACATATGAGTTCACCTTTTCAAACTCATAGACAAACATTCCTCAACATGGCCAAGTGGTGATAAGGCAAACATTTATTTACCAAATGTTAAAATGGGAATCTTCACTATATTTATTTTCCAACTCACGTTCACTGTATTTATCTTATTATTTTCTTCCCGTTCAATTTTCTCCTCTTATGACGTTCAATCACTTTATTTTTGTATGGAGTTCTACTTTTGTTTGTTTGTATTTTGGATGGCAATCACAGGCTTAAAAGAGGATATGTGATTAAAATAGGTTTCATTATTGATATAAAGTTGATATCAACTATTCATCAGACTTCCAATTAAGTACCGTATGGTATTTGTTTTTTTAATTGACTGAAACAGTTACTACTGGGAATTTAGCGACTAGAATTATTTATCCATAAAACGTTTGTCCTAACGCTCTATTCAGACATGGATACGTTATAATGGAACAATTGATATAATAGATTACTGAAGCGTATGAAGGATATACACTGGTAATTTGGTTACAGAACTGAACCCTTACTCCTGACCAAGTGGTATCCAAGTGACAGATTCACTAGCCAACTGACTGTAAATGTTAGAAAATTAAAGCTATTGTTTTTTTTACGAATATTTGACCAAAGTGGTATGATTGTCTTATTTTTCAGTTAATTAAAAAAAGAAATAGAAGTCACAAAGCCATTGCTCATTCGCTTCTGCTGCTCACCAGCCATATCACATCTATTTGTTAAAAGTTGAACTGTCATTTTTGTTATTTTGTGACAACTTTCGTATATTTGTTAAACATTTCTACTTGACTGTTCTTTTTCTACTTCCTTCAGGAAGAAGTTAGTTCTTTGAGGCATTTGTCATATTTGGATGCACATGTTATCTTACTGTGTTTCTCTGTCGTCCGACCAGATACTTTTAGATCCTTGAAAACTGTTTGGTTGAAAGAACTAGCGTCTGCGCCAATTATTCTTAACAGTGCTGCTGAACAAACTGCTTCAAAACTATTCGATTTATCCACTACACGAAGAAATGTTGATAATCTTTCAGCGTCAGTACCCACTAAATCAAAATCTATACACTCTAATCGTGGATTAAAAAGTGTGAATGAAGCTAACTTGATACCGGGTCCTATATTTCTTCTTATTGGTTGTGCATGTGATCTACGTAATGATATTGGACGTTTATTAGAACTGTCTAAAGTTGGTGAAGAACCTATAGATAAGGAAAAGGCCGAATGTTTGGCTATTGAATTAGGCGCTGAAGCTTACGTAGAATGTTCCGCATTAACTCAGAAAAATCTTAAGACTGTTTTTGATCTAGCTATTTGGTGTGGTCTTAAAGTAGCTGATTCAGGTGGTCCAGTATTATTGCGTGAACCAAAGTCAAATGGATCATTATTATATAATGGGGACTGCACAAAAGCTTCTAATAATGATAATAGTATTAACAATAACCATATGATGACCGATAGTCACCTATTTCATATTGTAACAGAGAATAATAAGTGTAAGACTCTTAAAAAGGGGTGGCGCCGTTTCTTTTGTATCAATTCTTAAGTTGTTTTGTAATTTAGTATTTCTTTTTCATTTTGTTGCTGATGATAATGCTTCCTTTTTGAAAATGTAAATTGTTCAATTTATTATCTAGTCATTTATGTATATTTTATAGTACTTTATGTAGTAACTAATGATTTTTTGTTTCATGTTTAACTATAATTACTGGTAGATGATATGGTTGTGTATTCATGTCAACTTTACAACTCTGTTGCCCTGTTTTGTGCACTGAACAAATTGAAACTTGATTAACTTTATCTAGTCTTTTCTTAATACTTGTTTCTTTCAAGTTTCTTCTTCATTAGCCGGTGATTATGAACTTATTTTCACTCATTTACCATCATCTACCTAGAACTCCTCTTTATATATACAAATCCTTGCATAACTTATGTTCACTTATGTCGTGATTTTATCACATTTGTGTACATTATTTTATTTAAAACTTAATTAATGTTCCATACATGAAGTGTATGCCAGATATACGTATATAAATTAAACCAAAGCTGTAATATCTACTCTGTGAATTGTTTTTACACCATTTTTTGCATATATATTTATTTATATGTATAACATTGTACATCCAGTCGTTGCTTTCTTTTCTCCAAAAACTATTTTCCTTTTGTTTGTTTAGTAACTTTTGTTGTCCACTTTGTATGTATATGTATGCATACAATTCGTAAAGTCTGCCTATATTACTAATTAATAGAAAGATTTTCGAAGCATGGGAATATTTTTTATTGTTGATTCTGTGCTTAATTTTTCACAACAGTCAAGGAAAAATCGTGAACGTATGGTTGTGGGCTGACTGATATTCTCCGGCAGAAAAACTCACTGTGAATGAACTGTACACAATACTCACTTAGTTCACAACTGATGTATTCAGCCAGTGACCACTTTCCTCTAAAGTCAGTTAGTGTATACCAATACGGTCATTCAACAAGGATTCAAGTTATTTTTTAATTCAAAGCAATGTATCGTCCTTTTATTTTCAAATAATTTGATAAGACTCCTAGGACAGTTTTATTTATGCATGCGCATTTATCCAGATTTATACTTGCTATTACAAATACATAATTTATAAAACACCATACAAAGGTTGTTTGTCATAATTTGAAATTGTTTTTTTTTTTCAGAGTTCAATCCGCTTATATTCACAGTCGGAATATGCATTTGGAGAATATATGTTTTCATTATGTTTTTGTTCTCGTAATATACGTTCGTGCTGCTTTTGTGCTCGTTCCAGAGTTTCGTGAGCTAAACGTGCACTTGATTCCATCGATTTCTCAGACAGCGAACTACAGCTAGTCAGCGATCCTGTTTCGTCCACTGTTCTTTGTTTTCGTTCATATTCATTACTGAACCAGTGGTTCTGCCTTTTAGATGCGTGATTATTGGAATCATTTGACCATTGTTTTATGTACGAATTATTCGTTCTTGGCTCATCTTCTAAATTCGCCAGTCGAATTGAATCATTTTCTGATTTTAAGCTGTAGTTTGCGCTGTCATATGCTTCATCGGTATGGTTATATTTCGTAGCAGCTGGTAATATTCCTACATAATTGTCTCTAGTACATTTCATATCTGTTTTATATCTATGGTATGGCTGGGTGGATAAGTGATCGTTATTATATTCTATATTTTGATCGCAGTCCGTGTCAGAGCAATCATCTTGATCCATTACTTCTGCGACATTGTGACTGTCTAACATTGCTCTCCTTCGTTGATTAGCCGATTGCACCATTTCGTCTGGATTAGAAATTAAGTCCGTTGATGGTTTGCCAGCTCTTGGCATTTGTAAGGCTTCTTTATATTTTTCTAGATTTTCCATGTAATTATCATTACTTGGGGGGTCCCAATGATCAACATAGTCAGATTCCAGTTGTGCTAAATGCTCACGTGAAAAGTGTGATTCTCGATCACGTTTTCGATACTCATCAGCTTTTCTACGTAGTACTACTATTTCTTGATACCAATCATATGATATACTTTTATTTGATGATTTCATTTGATTTTGTGGAGCACCTAATACATCTGAATAGTCTATATATTTCGCATTATATTCCGTAGTATACTTTTTTTTGTGGTGTGATAGTTTAGTGTTCATTTGTGATGGCGGTGTTAATGCTCGAATTCGTCTTTTTTCTGTATTATTAATATCCGTGGCTATTTCTCTAATTCCACATGCTGATGACGGACGTTTTAGAGGAATAATATGTACATCTTTGTTTTCCATTACTTCACTTGACTTTAATTGATCAACTGGAACATATTTAAAAGGTTTATATTCTTGCCTGTATTCTGTATCGTAAGAAATTTTACGAGATTGAAATTTATCTAGTTTACATGTGAATGGTCTAGTAGATTTTGTTGGTTCAAATTTATAATTGAACTGTGGTGCCTTAAATGCACTCTGATATTCTGAAAGACGGTTTTTTTCACAAGTGTAAACTGCAGCTTTTTGAGGCTCCAATTTCCAGTTTTCTGAGTACTCTTGAAGTGGCATTTTATTACTTTTAAGTTGACGTGGGGCATCGGGGGCGCGAGTGACCATTAAATGATCAGATTCTACTGGTTTGGAAATCTTTGTATGGGGCTTTTGCTCAAGCTCATTTTCGATTTTTACGTGCTTCTTACTCTCTTTTGCTTCCTCTCTTGCGCGTAGAATTCTCTTTCTGTTTTCGATCTCAGTTCGAATTCGTCGAATCTCCTCTTCGAGTGCTTTATGTGCTCCGTCTGTTTGGATAGCTTCATCTCTATGAGGTTTTAGGATAGGTGGTGACTTTCGAATTTGCCTGTTTATCTGAGCAGACAATTGCTGTTTTAAACCGTTACTGGTATTTTCTTGTTTTTTCTTTGGTGAGACACTTCGAGCATTTCGCTTCATTTTATTTCTGTAGGCAATCGAATTTGAAAATTTACCATCAGATGGACCTATAACAAAGTAGTCATCTTCTTTTGGATTTACAAACTGCGTATTCAGATTAAATTCGTTTGTCGATCCAAATTTTCGTTTTTTCTGAAATAATGGTTCTTCTGTTATTTTACCCATTCAGATAGTTTTTAATCGGTTTTAACATTCGATGTTTGCATCCATCAGTTAATCTAAGAGGTAATGAAACAACACAAAATTATTTCTAAAAATAAACAAATTAGATAAAACCAGGCATTTCTAAGTTTCATAACCTTAGTCGTTGAAAGTACATTACGAGTAAGGTGGCATGCTTTCCTTTTTTCACTACTGAATTTCCAAACATACATATAAATGAATTCCGAGGAGCTCGTGTATCACTTCCTTCACTTTACAGTTGTTTTAATCAATAATTTTGACCATAACTGACCCAGATGTTGCTTGGAAAGATATGCGAACAGCTGTAGAAACAGCGACATTTATCAGTGATTTAAACCGAAGGGTTACGTAAAACCAGTGGATCTTCACTTAGTCTATTGCACTGATAGGTTCTCGTAAACTCATTCCATCAGGCTCTGAACACGATGAAGAGCAAAAACAAATCAAATATAGGTTAACCAAATGTCTAAGAAACGACCGTGAGCAGTGTTGGGCATCGAAAGCAAAAGAGATATAAAAGGCAGCGGCTGTAAGTAACACTAGACGGCTTTTCAGACTAATAAAATAAACTGGAATTAATAAGTCAAGCGTGAGTGAGACTATCTCGGAAAAAGATGTCACTTATCTACTCTCAGCCCAGACGTTTAGAACGATGTGCGGAACACTTTAAGGGGCAGTTGAACTGGTATTCAGCTACTCTACAACTACTCACTGCTCCCAAACAGCCTGAACAGAACACTGAAGTAGGCCCCCAGACTCTAGTTGAAGTTCAAAAAGGTATAGCTAGTCTGAAATGAGGAAGAACAGATGGATTGGCTCCAGAGGTCTTCAAGGATGGTGACCTAGTTTTAGCGATTAGATTGACTAATATTTTAGTTAAAATCTGGGAGTTGGACGTAATCTCATCTGACTGGTCGCAATCAGTGATTGTCCCAATATATAAGAAGAGGTCAAGACCATTCTGTTTGACTAACATAGCATCTGAAATACTAGCGTCAATAATTATCGGTCACCTAACTAAGACACGTGAACTGCAAACACGAAAAAATAAGGTTGGCTTCATATCTGGTCATAGCTGCATCGACCAAATATTCACTATTCGTCAGGTTTCAGAATACAGGCATGATTATCGGCGTCCGACAATGGTGGTCTTCCTTGACTTAAAAGCAGCATTTGACTCTAGACCAAGAAGTTCTGTGGTAGCATCTGTCATGGAAAGGTGTACCACAGAAGTACATAAACCTTGTGAAGGCTCATTACTGGAACACTACTAGTCGAACCAGAACTCATGGTGAACTGTCATCTGATTTTGTAACCTCAAGTTGTGCCCGACAAGGCACCTACTTCTGGAAATAACGTTCTCGTCGACTGAATATTTGGGGATTGATCTCCTACCAGGAGGTTCACTTATCGACTTGGAATATGCAGATGATATAGTCCTGTTTGGTGAAGATACTGATAAAATGCAGACTTTAGGCAGCACTGAACAACAATGCCAGGATGTTTGGGATGCGTTTTTAACCCTCTAAATGCAAGTTGTTGCTTCAGGACTGGTCTGTGTCAACCCTGAACTAAGGATAGGGAGTGAAGTAGTTGAACGCGTTGACAACTTCACTTATCTTGGAAGTCTGATCAGCCCTAATAGGTTGGTGTCTGACGAAATCTCAGCACGGATTCAGAAAGCTCGTCTGGCCTTTGCCAACTTACGTCACCTATGGCGAAGGCGAGATATCCGTCTATCAATTAAAGGACGAGTATACTGCCCGGCAGTTCGTTCCGTTCTACTATACGTTTGCGAAACATGGCCATTAAGAGTTGAAGATACTCGTAAGTTACTAGTATTTGACCACAGGTGCCTTAGAAATATTGCGGGTATCTGCTGGGATCACCGGGTAAGTAATAGTGAGGTTAAAAGCAGGGTATTAGAGAACGATGGTAAATCAGTTGATGAGGTTATGAATCGTCATCGACTGAGATGGTTGGACCACGTACTGCGTATGTCTGAACACCGATTACCACGACACGCAATGCTAACCGGTGTTGGGAGTGGTTGGAAGCAAGCTAGGGGCGGCCAAACCAAAACGAGGCATCAGTGCTTGAAGTCACTAACCTCTGGTCTGGGTCATGTTGGTAGATGCAGATTACTTTGGTGGGGTCCGCGTGACTATCGTAACCATTAGTTGGAGACTCTGTGTGACAGCTCAGAATCGATCACAATGGCGTCGGTGTATTCACTCTTTGTCTTCCCTTAAACCATGAGACTAAAATCGCTTCATATCTTTATTTCTATGAACTAGTTCTTTCTTCATGTACTATATCATTATACACAATTCTTCTTTTATACGTTAACACCATTTAAGTGACTTTTTCTATGAATTTGATGTTCATCGTGTTGTGCTAATGAGGTGTGGCAACTTGGACCCATGCATATATGTGCCTGGTCCTACGTTGTAGCTGATTGACCTGTTTGCTTCTAAGGATTTTTACTTCTAAAATTAGAACTCAACTAATACCGTGATGTCTTAATACGCTCTCACCTTATAGATGGCTCTAGTTTTCTTTCACTTCTGAATATATGATGATGTGAACATTCTGATAGGGTGCGTATTACATTGTTCATCTATATTTATAAATGTTTGGTAAGGCAAACCTTCGGTTATTCCAGCACACCGGATTCAATGATGTTGCCTCTCATGGTTACTTGTTAATTTTTCTGTAACCACCTTATGTTTCATATCCGTCTATATTTGACTTTTTCCCGCACAACCTATCGTAATGTGAATATTAAAGACAAAAAATATTGAATCATAGCTACCCTAATTCACTAGTGACAAACAAAATTCTATTTAGCAACAAATTGTACGAGATAAATACATTTCTGTCGGAATGCTAATTGTTTGTTTTAACTCATTTTTAACATTGTCTATTGTTATTCAAACGTCCAGTCGATCGATCAATCAATATTTGTTCTTGCTTTATTTAAATTCATAAAAGGAACTAACTGCATGCAATCAATTTCTGTTTGTAGAAATAAATTTGATTGCTTTTGTAATTTTTGATTGTGTTCTATAAGGGAACTTTAAGAGAAATCGTTTTCTATTTAATTAATTTTTTCTTTTTCAAATAATTTCATCACTATAACAATAGTGATGATAATTGTTATTGTTTTTGGTTACGATAGAAATTCGGTTCATATTTATTAGTTTTTCAGCAGATTCAAATTTTCATATTAAAAAAAAGCACAACGAGCAACAGATAATAATCCCGCAACCAGATAACGAGAATTATTTGTCTTGATGCTTTTTTGAAAAACACTGTCATGTGACAAGAAATATCAGCATAATTATTTTATCAGAAAGGGGTTTTGTGGAAATTTTAATAATTTAATAGTTGAATTCATGAGTCCTCAACTAACAGAATCGTGGATGCGCACTGCTAAGGAGTCCTACACTAGGACAAAACGGCCGTCTAGTATTTCCAGGTTTTCCACTGTGGTTTAGCTCTAATTGACCCAGGAGTCCAATTATTAATAATTATTTCAGTTATTAGAAATTATACCGTCATGCCAATAGATTCACCGTGATCCACTTGATAATACTTTATAGCATAGTCAAATATAAATGTGTTTTTCCGTTTGTCTCACTGACTAATCTATTTAATGTCAAGGTATTTTCTACAAAAAATCTTTTTTTAAGATGAACGTTTACGATATATCCAATAATGAATGGAACTTTTCAATAAGTACTAGAAGAATTATTGAACTTACGGAATACAAAATATTTATTATGATTCATAAAAAATACTCGATAATAATTACTAAACCAATTGATTGACAGAATTTAGATTTTCACAGCTTGATTCACGAGTTGATCTATGCTAGACTACCATTGAAAACCTGGAGGCAGTGGATGGCAGTTCCGTCTTAGTATGGGACTCATCGACAGTGCGAATCCACAATCCCCACAGGGTCTAACTCAGGACCTTTAGTTTTGAGCACGAATACGTAACCTTTAGACCACTGAGCCGGTATCCAACGATGTTGATATCTAAATTCAGTCGACTCAAGGACACATTCAAATAAACTAATAATTAGACTTGTATTCTTAACAGGGTATTAACGAAGTTATTAATTTAAACTGTTTACTGTTTTTGTTATCTTTAGATGATTTTGAAGTGTAATTTCAAAAAGTAAAATTCTCCTAATACTTATCAAACAAAAGGTTCTTGTGCTAACCATTCTGTCAAAAATGTAGCAATAGCGATTTATTGATATTAGTTCGGTAACGGCTGCCAATGAAGCTGGTATGTTCTATCTTGGTAAGTGGAAACTTCAGAAGCACTGCAGAAATTATACACCTTTAATCTGTCCTACACCTTTAAGGCCGTTACGCTTCAATTATATACGTTCTAACGCATACAATGATGCAAAAAATGAACAAAAGACAGGCCTTTTAAAAAAGAACTTTAACCATAGTTTAAGAAAATAAGAATATGATACCACTATTTTGCATATACAATTTATTTACGACCACGGGAAAAACATATAGCATTATAGTAACAAAAGTTTAAGCAGTCAATAAGAGAATATCAATGTTCACAGTCGGAAATAGGAATTTTCGTTTCATGCCAGACTTTCAACATGAATGTAAAAATTTAAATTACAATATGAAGAAATGGGGACTTTTGAGCCTTCTTAGCAGAAGCACAGGACACGCGTTTAACCCTATTACTGACACGGTGGCTGAGTGTAACTAGTTTTTGATGTCCAACTGAGACTCGAATTGGATATCCGTCATTTTAAAGGTCAATAATCCGTACACTAAGATACTGAGATATTTTAGTTACTGTCTTTTATCTTACTTTCCTTCTTTGTTTTAAGCTAAATTTATTTTATCAACGAATTTGTGCAAGTTGAAAAACCAACATAGTTTATTGTTGATAGAATTCATATCAAGAATAATAACCGTTTAACGCGTTGTTTTAATAATACACATTACAGATGTGTAATGTTTTCTTCACTTCTCGTCGTTGACGT